CATTTACCCGTCTGCCAGCTTCTCCTGGGACCCCTTGGTCCCCTTCCTGCCCCGTGTCGCCCTGGGGGGAGAAGAGATGGGGGATGTGGGGCTCAGCCACATCCCAGGACTGGGGAAGAGGAGCTGTTGCCTGCATGGAGGTGAGGACAGAGCCCACCGGGCACTGGGGAATTCTGGAGATGGGCACCAAGAGCTGGGGAGACCCCTGTGCCCCCCAGGGCCACCTGAGCCAGGCTGGGGGCAGGATCTGCCAGCCCCTCACTCAAAAACCAGCCCAAGGCAGCCAAAGAGCATCCTGTGTTTTCCAGGTGGTGAAAATCGAGTCCCCCTGGGTGATTCCCACTGTTTTCTTTCCATGGTCCCCAGTGGGATTGAGCAGCTCAGGTTTGCCCACCCCACGCCCACGGGGCAGTTCCCCTCAGGTGCCATCTCCAGGGGAGGATTTTGGGGGTACCTTATCTCCTTTGTGGCCTTTACATCCTTTAGGACCAGCTTGTCCAGGAGAGCCCTGAAATCCCAAAGGAGAAGGAAAGCCTTCTGTGAGGATGCTGTGCCAGGAATGCCCCTCCTGGCTTCCCTCCCTGCCTTGCCCCGCTGTGCACAGGAGGATGCTCTAAGCTGGAATCTTCCCTTTGGGATTTTCCCTCTCTCTGGAGCTGGCTGGGCAGAGGAGGGGCTGTGGGAAGGTTCAACAGGAGCAGGAGATGGTGCCTGCATTGAATTTTTCCACACCCAGGAGATGCCAGCATCCCACAGCCTCTTCCAGGGAGAACCACCACGACTCCATCCCACTCCTCACCATTTGTCCTGGTTTTCCCGGCTCTCCTGGCTCCCCTTTTGCACCCACCAGGCCCTAAGAAGGAAAACAGAATTCAAGGCAAATCCAAACCTCTGAGTTACTCACCCAAATGCCGGAGGGACACAGATCTGGGAGGCTGGAAAAGCTGGAGCAGGGAATGGGGCAGAGAGGAGCCCGCTCACCTCGGTGCCGCTCAGCCCGGTGGCTCCAGCTTCACCCGGTGGCCCAAGAGTCCCCTGAGTTGGGGACAAAACATGAGGCTGGCACCAGGGGAAGGCAGGAGGGCACAGCTGGGGCTGTTGTCCCCAGGGAGAGCTGTGCTAGGGATGTCCCCTGCCCATCCCCGGGGGCAGAGGTGGTACCTGCCGGCCCGGCTGGCCCTTGGTGCCCACCACTCCTCTGGCTCCCTCGTGGCCGCTGTAGCCCCGGAGCCCAGGGGCACCTGCCAGTCCCCGAGCCCCCTGCGAGCCCTGCAGGGCACACAGATGGGGACACTGCTCACCCCCAGCCCCAGCAGGGCCCGAGCATGGGGCTTCAGCTGCACTGGGCTTTGCAAATCCACCTGGAGTTTATTCCACAGCAATTCCCCTGGAGTTTATTCTAAAGCAATTCCCCACTGGATTTTATTCCACAGCAAATCCCCACAGCAAATTCCCCTGGAATTTATTGCACAGGAAATTCCCCTGGAATTTATTCCACAGCAATTCCCCTGGAGTTTATTCCACAGCAATTCCCCACTGGAGTTTATCCCACAGCCTGACCTCTCCCAGCAGATTGCCCAAGCTAAAGGCCTGGAAGCAGCTGGTGTGTGGAAGGTGCCCCTGCCCATGGCAGGGGATGGAATCCAATGAGCTTTGAGGTCCCTTCCAAGCCAGACCAGTCTGGGATTCTGGGGTTGCATCAGAGCACGTCTTGCCCAGGCAGAGCGGCACTGCAGCCTGGGAAAACTGGGATGCACATGGGATTTATCCTGC